TTGTAATTTCTCTCAGACTCAGTTGACTGTATTGTTGATATTGACAGGCGGTGAGTGAGTGATGTGCATTGTGTGGCGGGATTGCCGAGGGAGTTTCTAAGTTTCGAAAGTTCGACTTTGTTCTATATCTGTCATACGGAAAATACTTCAACTTCATTTTTAACGCACAGTAACAAACCTACAAACTAGGAGCTAGTATTGCTCTTACAGGATTGCGGAGGACAGTTCATCCATAGAAATTTCTGACCACGCTAAGTAAGCATGGTCAGAAAGCATGGCTCGACCGGAGTGATACCACGGCCGAGCATAAAACCGACGTGAAGCTTGCTTGCGTTGTGATTCGTCGTGTGAGTGAGGTTGCCGGAGGCCCAATTACCCTCCCCTTCCCCAATCTCCCCAATCCCTGAATCCCCAACGATCCTCAAACTCCTAATCCCCAAAAGACCGGTAACGCACTTGTAACGCCTCTTGTGTTCCAGGTGTCCATGGGCGACGCCGATTGCTTACCATCAGGTGATCCGTCTGCTCGTTTACCGGTTTATGCCATAAAAAAAAACTTTACCATTGCATAACAATTGACAGTTAAAGTATTCATCTACTAATGCGACGTGATTATTTCCGCAGTGTCCGTCCCTATTTTCTGTTTACAGGATATTATAGTAAGTACATATTATATTATTATTGGATCACTTTCAACTAAACCGAAATTTATTTGTTTGATCAAAATTACAACGATCTGTTTCAATCAGTAACAGGATACAGTACTTTAAAAACAATAGTTTACAATCATAATGCTATAGTTCAACTGTAACTGTAAGCTATTCACTAACATCATTAAATATATTTGATAATAAAATACTATAAGACCATGCCTTTGATAGTGTTCATAGTATAAGTATTATTAGACACCGGTGCCGTGTCACGATGACCACGATGGTTAAGACGCGTCCGCCTCTCATGTAGGTTCGAAACCTACCAACGACGAGTATCAATGTGACTTTTCTGAGTTACTTAAAAGGTGACAATGACAAATGGTGAAGGAAAGCATCGTGAGAAAAGTTGAGCTTATAATTTTTATTTACAAGTTTGAAATTGTCAACTTGGATTGAGCAAGAGTAGTGATTGATGTTCAAGCCATTTTGTTTGTTAGAAGATGCATTGAGCTGGCCATTTATAGGCTGTTTAAGTGTTGATGTGATATAATAGACACCGCATCCCATATATTAACACGAAGCAGCAATTAATGACTGACGTTTGTATTACGTCTTGTAATTCTATATACGTATATGAGGGATGCAGTCATACGTGTATAATACAAAGTTGATGGTCTGCAATAATATTATGTTGCTGTACATCTACAGTATACGATGTTGAATGTATGTTTGCCCGTCCTTGACTACATCAAGTAATATAATATTTGCCAATCTCATTTCAGTGCTTAGAATTTCTAAGATAATCTTACTGCATACTAATTAATAGCAATAGGTGATTATACACGGGTATAATATATCGTGACAGTCCGCTTTTAGATTACAAGCCTCATCTTTATAAAAGAATTTCCGTCAATACTCTTGCACAGTTTCGACTGAGATCGCAGTTAAAAATATTCTAGTTTATTAAAAACTATTTATCCATAAAATAAAAAATGTTATTACAAAACACTTTAAGAATCAAAAGGATGTAACAGTTTTCAAAATATATTAATTAAAATACTTAACTACACTAACAACCCAATTATAAACTCTAATCCTGAACTTTCGTAACAAAAACCTGTACTTCAATATGTGGTCTAACAAACACACATAGAACACAATGTATTAGTTAATAAAAGTTAGTTTAGTTGCACCAAAATGTGTAACATTCCAATGAAGATAGTAGACTAAAATTATTAGGTGACATACAAACGATAGTGGGAAATCCCAGTCTCAACAATGGCTGAGTTCGCGACCAAACTCTGGACTTTCGACCTGAGCTCTGTTGCATTCTGTCCCGTCATTGGTCTTGATTATTCTCAGAACCAATGACATGGCGATCGAGTTCAGTTCGTTGTTTTTAATTGAAAGTTACTGAATAGCTTGCTGTAATGAAAGGTTCACATGCTGCAGTACTGCAGTATAGGAACGGATCGTCATTTTATAGACAAAACTGTTATTTTTAGGGACGTAGAACTGATTAGTGCCTCTATAAAAACCGTCAGTGAAGACTAGTAGCAAATCCTTGACCACCTTGAAATGGGGGCTTTGTTTACTAAAGGAAATCACTCAGAAGTTGATGAAAAGTTGGTCTACTGGTCGACTGCATGGTTAGCGGGGTCTGGGAAACCGGCTGCAGGGTAGAGGGGGTGAAGCGGGTGCGATAGCTGCACGGAGATAATACAGGAGAAAATCCTAGTGTGGGGCAACGTGTTTTAAAGAGGATAAAATAATGTAATTTCTGGCCAACTACTAGATACTCGTACGAAACAATGTCAAATAATAATTGATATACGGTATATATGGTAGTAAACCATCTTTACTCCTTTTTGAGACAAGATACTGGTGTTGTCGTTCGGCAACGTTAGAGTTAGTTGTACAGGGTGTTTGGTGCATTGTATGCTAAATTGAAATGGTCGACAGAAAAAGTCATCTGCTAGCCCTTGAGGCCTCTTAACACCTACCATGCCCTGTAGACTACGTTATTGTTTTACTAAAAAAACTAATAAATAAAAAAAAAGTATATAAAAATTAATGACTGTTCGTTAGTCTCGCTTAAACTCGAGAACGGCTGAATCGAGGTATGAAGTTTGGCAGGTCAGCTAGTATTCAAATACAAATTTTAAAAATGTATAAGGCGTAGACTATTTTAATTTGGCCCACGATGTACCAAACACTCTGTATTATAGTGTACATGTACGACAGCCAACAGCTAAAGTTAAGTATCTGTATAGAGATTCATCCTTCATCCCCAGCCAGTGCATATAGGAACTTGGGGCGAATCCTTTGAATGCCATTGCAAGGAGCGCGCCGAATTCAATGACGAAGTTTTTATATGTATAATGTATCGTCGTATCGTATCGTATGTATGTATGTATGTCCGTCCAACGAAACTTTGAAGAATGAATTAACCGAGAGCTTCATGCTTGATCCAATCTCAATCCTGTTGTATGTATTTTTTTTAAGGGGGGAAAATCATCGAATGCCTGCTGCCGCCTGGGTGAGGCGGGAGGGAGTGTCAGACTCTTACTGACTAAAAACCACCCCGTTCCTTCTCCTGCACGTCGAGCCTGAGCCCCGGTTACCGGTTTTTTTAAGGGGGGAAAATCATCGAATGACTGCTCCCACCTGGGTGAAGCGGGAGGGAGTGTCAGACTCTTACTGACTAAAAACCACCCCGTTCCTTCTCCTGCACGTCGAGCCGGAGCCCCGGTAACCCGTTAGGTTGTCCGCGACCTGTAGTATGTATGGGTGCCTTTTTTATTTCTATTAAGGGGTTATGAAAATTCTTTACACGTTTTAGGTTTAAAAAATATTATGCGGAAAATCCTGGAAAGTTAGTTTTGAGTGGCCTTAATTATTAACTTAATCACCGGCAGCTTGGACCATGATCCCGCTACTGGTCAGCTTCTATTTTTAAATTTTTATATATTATTTTTATATTTTGTAAGTAGTAGGTAATTAAAAATGTATTTATAGAGGATTTTAAATAAATATACGGAACTTAATAAGAAATTATGCTTTATATTGCTCGTTTCATATTCAATTATAGAAACAGATGTGTGAACGGAGAAGCCAATGGGAAGGTGATTATTTACGGAGTTTGATCTTTGTTTTGAGGAGAGAATAATCATCGAATGATTCTTGCTGCCCTGCGTGGGGCGTAAGGGAATGTCTAATTCTCATGACTAAAAACCACCCTGATATACTTGTAGTTGCAATTTGGTATACCCCTACACCGACGATGTTTCATTATTTCACATAATTAATCTGTCAAACACCAAGCGGTCACCGGTGACCGCGACCTATTGTTCTTTAATTGTGTCTATAAAACCGGTACTCGACGAGTTAAAGTTTAGATGTTTGATGAAAAGCAAAGGTTCCTTTCGTAGAATCCGACTACTTGTACTAGTATAAAGCTTAATATCAAATTATTGTAACGGACTTTTAACTTTATTGCCTTTAAAATATATTTGAAAATGTCCTTAAAAAATCAACATTTTAGGGTACCTTGACATGCTATAGTTCGAACAACAAAACAATAGTAGGACCACTAGCAGCAAATAGCTTTCAGAAATCATCATCAATCATCTGTACAATACGCCGTTTACATTGAAGCATTAATGCAGCGTGCAAGTCTTTGCTCTAAATCCAAACTAAAATATTAGCCATGACTACAAATTATGATTGACCACGATACTCGAGAAAGCGAGAAAGTATTTAGCTCCAGTAATGCTTGGCAAACGACGGTATTACTCACTAGTCATACCACATGTAGTGATGTAGTGAACATACACACACGTAGACATACACACGAACACGCCGCATGGACTCCTACAACATGTCTATCTATCGATCGATAGAGAATTCATATTGCCAACCAAAAAAACATCGACGTTAAAGAAATATTTAATAGCTGCATTAAAATTTTAAATATATTGTGAAGCACAAACATTCCTGTTCACCTCGCAGCAACGGGAAGCTCTGCATCCCGTTTGTATTTTTAATAACTCCTCGTTCATACACTGTACTAGACATTTTTCTATTACGAAATGCCCCAAATTATAATAACAGTAAGCGGCGAAGTGTCAAGTGTCTGTGCTAGCTTCCTGGTGCTGTATTTATAATCGACACACGAAAAACAAACAACGCTTGCCGGCGCGGCAGCACAGCGCGGGCGCAGCTCCGTCTCACCTAACCTATATGCTATCGCGTCGAACACTGCCCGATCTATTGTGATCGTAGTACAGGACTAAATTATAACCTAAATCTGCGTCCGTCTGGACCGAAAGTATGCGAAACACGTACCATTGGTAGTTGAACGGTGGTGAGCCGGTGGGAACAGGCAGGACGAGGGTCGCGTCGCTCCCGGGTGCCGCCCTGACGGTGAACAGCCCGCTGGCAGGGAACGACGGGGGCTCCATAGGGCTCCAGTCCTCTCGGGCCGCGCGCGACTTGCCGTGTGCGCGCGACGACGCCCGCCCGCCGCCTATCTAAAAATAATACGGAAAAATGTAACGCGCGCGCCACCGAAATTCGTACGACGCGAATATTTTGCCAATACCACTGACTACGTTCAAATTTTGTAGGCGATCAGCTGATCGCCTGACTGGCAGGAGTTTTACACGGGCCCGGGATCTTTTACAACCGGTTGCTTCTACAAGGCGCGGTGTCGGACTGAATGCCTGTAACTCAAGCTTTGATGTGGATAAACATTTAGGAAAATATAGTTACATATACTGCTATACCTGTTTGGTGTTTTATTAGGATTTCGAAGTCAATATTTAATTACGCTAAGCTTTCAAATACAGACATAAATGAATGATATTTCAGAGAATTTATTAGCTTTTAAATATTTTTGATATCTTCAATTAAACCACTCCATTTACACAATAGTAAAATCTCGAACCATCTTGATTTTACTTCTTGAAAATCTATTATCGGCTGTTGGATAAAATCGGAAAAAGGTGCGTATCTAATAGCCTTTCAGGTAAACTTTTAAAAGCTTTCATACACCACTGGACTCTAATACTTACTATTATATTTTATAACATAGGTATCTAACACTTATTTAGGTAATGTGTTACCAACCAATAGGTACATAAAATAAATTAATATGGATTTGATATTTACATAATTATTATTTAAAGCAATTTTAGGTCACATCGTCGCTTACTAATCCGACCCATTAAAAATAAAACAAATATTATACCCCTGTGATATTATATAGAGTGCGTCTCACAAACTATATTTATTGCTCATCGTCGAAGGATAGGCGCTAACAATATTACTTGATTTAATATGCAACATCGATAATATTGATTTTACTCGCGTTTTTTATAATATAATTACACTGATAACCTCCATGCTATCCTTGGATACCTAGTTATTTGAATATCAAAGATCGAGCACTATGAATCGAATATCCACAATCTCGAACGTTCATCTTATTGATTTTTTTTAAGCGTGGAAATCATCGAATGGTTCTCATACCTGGGTGAGGCGGGAGGGAGTGTCAGACTTACTGACTAAAAACCACCCCGTTCCTTCTCCTGCACGTCGAGCCGGAGCCCCGGTTACCCGTTAGGTTCTCCGCGACTCATCTCATTGAATAGTAATTCAAAAGTTCAACGCTTACCTACCTACAACATAAATAAACATATTTCACACTCAATAGGCAGGCAGTGTTTAAAATATTGAATAAATATTAATAGTGAATACGTCCTAAACGAAAATAAAAAAAGTTTATCACTAGAGTTTATTATTTTATTTTAAATGGTAGGAATTTCTCTCAAATTTATTTGAATGCAAAAATGTCTATTGTAATAAACTTTTTATAGAATAAATGGTAGTCGTATATAAAATATAACTGACCTATTAATAACTTGCTGATGCCCGCGGCTGCGCTCGCGTGAATTAAGGACTTTGTGACTTATCTACAAAATCTCAACTCCTATTTACACCTCTTCGTAGTTCTAGATATTTTACCCAACATATAATGCGCGCGACTCAAAGTCGCGGAGAACTTAACGGGTTACCGGGGCTCCGGCTCGACGGGCAGGAGAAGGAACGACGTGGTTTTTAGTCAGTAAGAGTCTGACACTCCCTCCCGCCTCACCTAGGCGGGAGCGGTCAATCGATGATTTTCCGCCCTTAAAAAAATACATACATTCATAATAAATACAAGAAAACAATTTAAAATAAAATTTACACATGACGGATAAGAAAGAGGAAAGAAATAGTAACTACAGCGTGGAGACATAATATTTCCTCACGAATGCTTTAGCGCGTGCCTGTGCTCGCCTTGCAGAAAGTTGCAAAGCATTCCACAGTCGAACAGCTCGAACAGTGGAAGGTTGGTCAAAGGGATCCGACGCGTGCTGGAGCAACTTCAGATTCAAATCTTCCGATGACCGTGGTCTAGAATGTGTGTCATGGAAGAAACTTATTCACATTGTGTGCCATTTGCCAAATAAATGCTTTTTCTTTCTTTTTCTCTTACATAATTCCAATCTAGTACCTTTACGATGCGCAAAACAAACTTGATGTCTCGATCATAGCTGATAACATTGAGTGTATTTTCATAGTTTTAATGTTGTTAGTTCCACAAACATTCGTCGTCATGATTAAATAGACAGACTGTACCTACATTGAATCGGTTCCTCTCCTAAATTGTATACAAGCTCTACTCTGTGTCGGGTCGACGCTCCCACTAACAGATCAAAAGTCGGGTAGTTACATTCTCGCTGCAGTTTGATTGGAGTATGTAGCTGTAGGGAGCTTGTCAGTAGCGGAGAACCTAACGGGTTACCGGGGCTCCGGCTCGAAGCGCAGAAGAAGGAACGGGGTGGTATTCAGTCAGTAAGAGTCTGAAATTCCCTCCCGCCTCACCCAGGCGGGAGCAGTCATTCGATGATTTTTCCCCTTTAAAAAAAGGGATGCTTGTCAAACTATCACATCAAATTTTCTGGTAGTATTAAATTTTAGTGGCTACCTATTTTAAAAAGATTCAAGTTTTTTTTTTAATAATTCGTTTACCCACACTAAAGTTTTCTCCTGTGTCCTGGGTGCATTTACAACCATACAATATCACATGTACATGACTTCCAGATCTGAAACAATTTGTGGATCACACAAAGAGTACGGGAATCAAACCCGATACACGCTGTGGGTCAGCCGGTTGGCCCAGGCACCGCGCTAACCAGTGGTCGAAATATCAATCTCTTTGACCGATGTCCAATGAATGGGTTGTAACTAAAACGATTAAGGATTGTGTCATACTAAAACTATTTATTGATATATCAATTGATTAATAAAATTTACTTTCGTTATCAAAACAAGAGGTGATTTTATTCTCTATTTCCGTTTTGGATTCGATTAAAATAATTATTTTGTTCTACCAGTCACCACAGCTATTTTAAACCCGATACATACGTATTTTCGCTTTTTTCGATGCATGCTAAGCTTCATGTCCCATGAATAATAAACTAAAATGGCTCTTAAATACCACACTATAAGAGCTATGACTTCTCAATGGAGAAGCGAAAATAGTGATGTAGGTCGGGAAAGTTCGAAGTTCTTAAATTAAAATTATCGATTGTACAGTTCACTTCCTAGCAGTTTCAATGCAGCTAGAAGTTAATAAAATTGTAAGGTTACCTTGAAGGACTACAGTACACCTGGTGACAAAAATTGGACATCAACCTTTAGAAAGAGACAATAGGGGTGATGACAGGGTATGCAAATGAAAAATCTTATTAGTCCGTCAGTTAGGTAATAAAAAAATATTAGACTGTTTTCATTTTGTTGTATAATAAAATGATACTTAGATATAACGAATCAAAGTTAAGGAGTGGGGGCTAAAACGTCATTTCTACTTACGAAGTGACGTCACGCGACATTTCTAATCAAGCTCAAACTCAAACTCAAAAGCATTTATTTCAATTAAACCAATAATTTGGTACTTTTGAAACGTCAACAAATATGAAATAAATAATAGTCTGTCAGTCTGTCCGTCAGTGAAGCTAGGCTAATCAATATATAGTCGAAAATATTCGTTTCTGTAAAAAAATAAAAAATACGTGTGTAATGTTTTAAAATAATCTACCAGACGGACATTAAAATAAAAATTAGTCATCTACCCTATTGGCCAAGACATCGCGTATACAGGGTGACTGTAACATGACCTATTCCTCTCTCTCTCTTTCTCTCGAGATGCTAATTCAACTAATTTCCTACATACAGTGGCTAGTTTCTGAGACTCGGTTTTGGTAAAAAATCCCGTTAACTACTAAAACATTAAAAATACAAAACTTCTGGTTTAAGTGATTTTTGTTTTAATTTATTTAAGTGACTTTGGACTAGGAACCTTAGAACTAATTTTGTAGGAAATTTGTTGTATTATCACCTCCCGAGAGGAATACGTAGAGTTACAAGTCACCCTCTATATGCTCATGATTATGGCTGCTAAAACTAATCAAACACTTCAAAAATAAGACTAAACCTTAAAAAATCTGTGCAATACTTACCGCCGGCTACTTTACATCAGTATTTTGTATGCATATCTGTGTGTCAGGATGTATTTCTTATAATTAAAAACAAATAAAACAACATAATTAATGATACTATAATTTATTTATTATGTTATACATATTCGAATACACTTAAAATTAATTCGACTAGACCAAAAATTAGGCTAATCTATAATAAATAGTTAGTACCAGGGCTGTAGGGTGTACTTAACTTATTAAATATCTTTTAAACTATAAAAAACGGTGACTTAGACATATGTGATTAGGATGGGACACGCATTTTGTAATCATAAAGCCCTGGTAGACAGGTTTGAGAGTACCAATGATTAAACGAAGAGTTCGTGTAAGCTGGTTAATCATTGTACAGTACATTGGTGGTACCCTCGAAATGAAATGACTTACAACCATATTATTATCCACACCTGATAAAAATACTCCTTCATAAAAATATTAACGATAACCATAGATTTTAGGTTGGTATTTAATTCGTCACAATGAAATCCGGATCGAACCAGATCGCACCGTATTTATCTCATACGTTTGAAACTTGGATTTTTGCCATCGCCGTAAAATGATATGACATATTTTAACTTTCATTTATGAAATTTGATCTTGATGTGTAAAAACGTTTAATTCTCAGAATTTAGACAGTATCTCGTTATACAAAATTTATCGTTAACATTTTCATGGTGAGTATTTGCGCCGAATGCTTCAAATATTGTACATTTCGTTTTTAGAAATTGTAAAGGTAGACACTAAAAGATTCTTAGGCGAAGATTGACAAATTGGCACTGCCGAGGTGTACCTACTACACGCGCTAAATAGTGACAATAACCACCAGGAACAGAGTTCGTGAACAACTTGGTGTAATAGTAATAAAATCCTTTACTCAAAATTGTTGCGGTTTTCAAAATTTGTCAAAATGTTTATAAAGATATCGTTACCAAATTGTATTGTAGCTCGACAAAGTTGAGCAGTTAAGAACAGTGCCAAAGGGTCACAAGAGGATTAAAAGTTAATAGTAAAATAGTGTAAAAAATTACTTTCAGACTAAGTGCAGTCTATACTTTTAATTCGTTTAATGAAGTACGAAGCCTAAATGATGAAGTTCGTGAATTTATTCGTGATTCGTATTAACTGTTGGACTGGATTGACACTGGCTCTTTGGTTCATACTAGGACTTGCCCGACGGTGGACCCGTCGAGTCTACGCGTTACAAGATCACGCCTGGTCTCTCCAATCCACTGTCCAATACTATCACTTTGTTAAGTTTAAAATAATATAATAATAATCACAATAGCACAAGTTTAACTCGCACCAAGGGTTCCGCACAAACGATAACAAAGTATACAAAAAAGAAATGCAACCATTTTGAGATCTTTAATTTGGACCCTCAACTCCCGTAAGTATAAATTAAAACATAAAACTAATATTTGAGCACTTATTTAAAATAATCACTCGCAGTACGGAACCTTTAAACATAAATAAAGAATATAAGTAAGTAAAAAAATAAATTTGGTATGTCGGTAACATATTTTTTGCTTCTGTTCAGCTCGCGTGACAATATATTTACAAAAGGTTAGCGCATAATCGCGTTTTTATTTCAAATTTAATTATAGTACGAAATCGGTCAATTAGGCGTCAATATTAGGCCTCCCCACATTAAGCGCGCGCGTTCTTCGGTCGTATGAGCGACGCAGCCACCGAGTACACGACGCGAGCCCGTCGCTTGCACTCTTCACAAACGCCACAGGGCAACAAAACGCCACGCTCACGCAGCACGCTCGGGACACCTGCGCTACTCACACGCCCGAGGACCGCGCACGTGGGTTCAGCTTTACTTGTTTTAAAAAACAAAGATGGGCTGTGTAAGTCTGTCACGTTTGACAACGGTCGTATGTACCAAGAGTAGTGGAAGTTGCAACTGTGTTGTTGCGATAAAAAATGTTACGCTACACATGGAATGCACAGCTCTACTTGACCGTCGCACTATAGCAGGGACGGATTCCACACGTCAAGATACCAACCGTTGTGTTTAATTACAATTTTAATGTCAATTTATGTTATATCTAACCATTTTTTATATAATCTGAATCGATGTAACTTCTAATAGTTAACTCGTCAAAGTTGTTGAACCGCTTACAAAGATTTTTATTCTAAATAAATGACCGAAATAGCTCTTAAATACAGCCGTAAACATCTAGTCATCATAATAGCCATTAGCCTTCAAGCAAGGCATTATTATTAAAAATTTAATAATACTTTTTATCTTTCCCTATCATTCCCGAACCTATCCAACCCACCGCAATAGTGCACTGGGGAGCTCTTGTTTTACTTTTTAGACAAATTCCTACAAAACATTTGCAGGTTATTTTTTATTTATAAGTCTGATTTAAGATTCGCGATTTACTACTTCTGCCAAATATCAATATTGATTGAAATTCTGATTCAATTTGTGCATACCCCAGTGCGCACGGCACGATTAGCAAAAAATATGTTATAAAAATATTACTTCTCACTAGTCATTACCATTAAGTTTTTTTTTTATATAAAAACAGAGTAAAAAAGCTAAGACATGGACAGGAGACAAGTTTTCACACCAATGAATTGTCGAGGTAAAAAGTTTGCGAAAATAACAAACTTGGTGTCTACGACAGCAATTGGTCCACAAACTTTTCTCAAAAAACAAATCATCAGTAAAACAAAATGATAAAATGATACTTTAAAACTTAACCCTAAGTAGTTTTAGTCTAGCTAAAACTGTTAAACTTATATAAAAAGAAATAAATTTACCAACTAGTACTACTTATTCACTAAACTAAAAAGTATATCTAAGGATAATAAAATCATAGTCTTCGAAACTATAGACGTTTAGATTATTATAGGGTAACTGACTACATGTTGCTAAACCATTTTTATAATTGTTGTGATGACGTCATAATGTTATGTATTCCACGACAAGTTTTAAACTCTAATCATAGCCGAGTACGCGCCATTAAAAGCACACTATTCCCGTAAACCAAATACATCGGTTAACCGACCCAATATGAAATAAGTAGATATATTAATATTTTATATCACTGCACAACCACAATATGTTTGGACATTTTAAAGTCGGATACCCTACAATAAACCACTGTCACATCTATATTGAATGAGAATTTTGTGTACTATGCAAGGATATTCAGTCATGACACTTCAGTTTTAGAAGATAAATTTCTTAGTGTTTGATATTTTATTTTGAGATTGAATAGTTTTCTGTGAGTCACACAGTCAGAATCCTTATGTGTTTTATTATCTAGGTTTGTTAAGTTAGGCTGTTTAATATATCGGTTGTAAGATAATATGCAAATTAAATACTGGTTCTAATTAAAATAAGGATATACACACAGTAATGTAATCTAGAAAGTACAATTTATTCTCTACACACCAATGTTTCACTACACGCGGACTGAAAGTGAGATTATAATAATTTGCCGCGATATTCGAATTTCCTTCATTAATGCGAATTCGCTAAAGCTATTAGTCCCTAGTTTACTTGTCTTCGGACTTTAGTCTTTAGAAATTAAATGACTGCAGTGATTGGGACTTTGAAATCAAAAATATATATGAGTGCATGCCTCTGCCGTGCATTTCAGAGGCGCTTTCAGTCCGCTACACAAAAGTTATTAAAATTTTCTGGAATGATTATGAATATTTAGATTATTAACTGATATAAGTTATATAGTGCGTGTACTCTCCGATGTGGTTGGGACATTTGGCGGTACTCATAAAATTGTTGAGCGACACTTACCTACAGAATGAGGTTAGGACATTCGTCTGCTTGAGGCATTCCCAACCTTCGAGCCACTTCTTATTTTTAGTATACGTAACTGTAATAGACATTTAGTTGCTACTGTGGTGGTAACTTGTTCAGCTTATAATATATTTGTTTCATATATTATGGAGCTATATTTCATTGTGTACGCTAATAGAATTGAATACATAGACACACAATATAATGAATTAAGTATCTCCCTATGTCAAACGCACTACTTTCTATTAAAATATCAAACTGTAGGAGACATAATTGTACAGATATTTTGTGTTTTCCTAGGTATTGTGGAAACTCGAGTGGCATCTGTGTAGTAAGTACAATTTAAACAATAATATCCCCCAGTTTCAAATATACAGACACATTAAATTGAAACCTTTGTATGCTGTAAAGCAAAATCAAAGACTAACTACTTTTTTTTTGGATTTTTGTTATTTTGTTACACGAAGATAGTGAGACTCTTTGTAAAAAGATTCTGTTTTCTATAGTAGAAGGGCGAGACAGGCTCGCTTACATCAGTCCGGTTAAGTCGACCGAGCTGGGTGCATGCACGCGCTCCCAACTCGTATTAATTTATGTACATTTAAACATGAGCAATATCTGGAATTTTATATTTGTTATCAACCTTTCCATGCCCCTTTGGTTTAACCCCAATGTTTCCATTTACCTCCACAATAGTATCTTTTTTCTTAGGTGGCTGGTTATTATTTTTTTCGATCGATTTTTTATTTAATTCGCAGGCTACATCCACCATGACATTATGGACTTCGCCTTCGGGTATCGCCACCGATACAGCTTTGTTGGTTTTTTTCTTTTCCACATATCGAACCACCAACACCTGGGCTTCCTTCTTCTTGTTGAACTTCCGCCGTGGATCGGCCGCCATCAGTTCGGACGACGAGGAGGAGGGTTTGTAATGGTACTTTAAGTTCCGGCGAATACCGCAACGGCAAGCCCTTAGGGCAATCTCGCGCCTGTAAAGAAAGTCTGTGTTAGATAATTAATTATGATTTTCTTAGTCCACATTAGAGTACAACATAGATTAGCATGGAGCCTGTATGTAGCCTAGCCTAGCTCCATAAATAGCCCTGGCTTATAAATCAGAAATCGCTAGGCTATAAGTAGTCGTCGCATTTGGAAATAAGTATTTCTTATAGGTACTATAATCGACATAAATGTATGTACAATTTAAAATAGTCAGAAGCTTGGTCGTCTACAAATAACTTCGCATCACGGCTAAAAGCTTGCAGCCTCCGTCTTACACGGTACATGATATTATGGTCGGCAGTGCATTTACACTAAAACAACATTAGTACAATACCTATTTATGGTTAAAACTGACAGCCGTCCCGTGCGAAGCTCTGTATTTAGTAAATATTGTGTATCAATTGCCTTGTTTTCGGGGCATTTTCTGTTTTCCGAACATTTCTCAGTGACAGCACGGAGTCTGTAATAGAGCCCGGTATCGTGTGGTACTCATAACATAATTGGTGAAAACTGGGTGTTATATTGTGACAATTTTATGTATGAAGGTACAATTCTATACATATACCCCTGACATCGTGGAAAAAAGTGTGATGAAAAAAAATTTAGATTCCAGTAAAACTTAGCAAAATGCACATTCTACGACAACATATCGGCTAACTCTACGCCGTCTGCTATAATAAGATAATCCTTCGCTTATGCAGCAATAAATAATTTTACTATAACTAAAACTAAATGCAATACCAACATAATGTATATGTATAAAAATGAATCGCTTTTTCCCTTGGTCACGGCGACACGCGTGTATGGACCGATTTCACAAATTCTAGCAATAAAGATATTTGAATTTAAATTCTTATTTTGTTGTATTTATTATTATTAGGAGAAGGTTTTTAAACAGAAAAAATCCTGTAAATCTTACGGGAACGGGAGAAAACGGGATTGCGCGTACGAAGTCGCGGGCAGAAGCTTATTATGCATAAATCATTACTTTAAACAGTTGCAGCGCACATCTACACCAGCTCCTAGCAAGTTGGATGGTCGCAAGCGCAACAGCCTCATCTAAATAATTTTAAAATATTGACGTGGAAAAGCGCTAGTTTGTAATGAATTTATAAAATACCATCGGAACCCGATATTTCTCGAAAATTCTCATAATCGTCGTCGTATAATTATGTCCGGTATATGGCAATATTCTCTTCTTCTTCTATTACCAGAGATTCATGACAAAACTAGTACAAACTGGACACTGCGTTCAATACCTATGTGCACTTTTGGTTACACACTCGGGCAATACAAGACGGTATGTTAATACTAGGGTTTTCACGCTAAGCTTATGAAAAGACTCATTTAACATACAATTGGTATAGAAACCTTGAGAAAATACAAAGTATTACAAATTTTGCTTTCATACATAAATGTAGTTGAAAAATTATAATTTCTAAATCGTTCGTTAGTGCTCTGCCCTCACTAAGTGATGTACCAAGCAGGAAATATTTGAATAAGATCTATTTGAAGAATCTTTAAGGATAACTTGAAAATGAGGGATAAGTTGTGTCTCGTTGGCCAAGTGGTGGCTAGTACAACTATCGATTCCCGAGTCTAGCAAAGTATTATTATATTAGTATTGTTTTGAATTTCCGAATTTTCTTAGTATTAGCACGAAGTTTGGAAATACACTCGGCATATGGCAGTAGACTATCATACTTAACACTTATTAGTGGTGAAATGTGGGTGTTACATTGTATAGGCACCTTATAGGGTAGTAGACAGGGTATGAAAATTAAAAATGTAATTACTTCGTCAGTTAAATAATAAAAAAAAATCAACTTGTCGTATAAGAAAACAATACTTAGATAAAACGGAGTTAAGTTTAGGAATAGGAGGTCGTTACGTCACGCTACCCTATAAAATGTTGTAAATCCTGACGTCACACGATATTTCAAATCAATATATCGTCGAAAGTAATTAATTTTGTAAGAAAAGAAAAAAATACGTGTCTAATGTTTAAAATAATCTACCAGACGGGCATTAATATAAAATTTAGGTCACTACCCCCTATTAGGTTCTTTAATGGTGCACCTCGATATACCTTCAGATAGATAAATAGATCGAACACTAGATACCCAATCAAAATTAGCCCCTTAGTGCAACGACACTTAAAAATTGCAAATACGAGTGTGTCCACATCCCACGCACATAACACGATACTTTGTAAAATATTTTATTCACTGAAAATGTACGAAGAGCTGCACAATAATATGCACGTGGAAAATGCTATCACCGTACACCGTATGTTATTTAAGAAAAGGGTATAGCTATACCTATACCTGTGAGATTACGTATGTAATAACTTTTTTTAAGGGGGAAATCATCGAATGACTACTCCCGCCTGGGTGAGGCGAGAGGGAATGTCAGACTCATACTGACTAAAAACCACCCCGTTCCTTCTCCTGCACGTCGAGCCGGAGCCCCGGTAACGGTTTTTGCGTCGACCCGGGATTCAGCATCTACGCCACCGCCGGCGCACGAGTGTAACGTGCCAACGGAGTCGCACGCGCCGCCGGCGTCGTTGCCACAGATAGAGGAACGTGCGCGGAGTCACGGCTGAGACCGCACTGGGCCCGTACTACATTAGACTCGAATAGCCAGTGTGTCGCAGAATGCTGCTCATTAATATGAGCCTCTAGCATGGCTTGAAATTAGTCGAGTACCTCGTCAAACAGTTACATGAGTAACCCGAAAACATAATAATAATTAATTCCAGTATTCTCTACAATTCAGGTCAATATGATTAATTATAGTGTCAGATACGAATGAAATTATTATGTTGCAATGCACAATGCTACAATTCTATGCCTTGTTATATTTTGAATTGAGTTCTTTTTTAGGTTATTTTTTAATTAATTTTCTATTCAAACTCTCACTAATAATTGCCCTACCTATCAAGACAATATCTTGGAACTTTGTACTAACTTTAACTTCGTATCTTACTTGGTTAGTTCTTGAACGAAAATCAAATTAGGACCATCGCACACCTAACGAGCATGGCTCCGGCACGGCGTTTTTTACTTTGGAAACAATAAAAAAAGGTTGTAAGAGCACCACCGACGCGCGGGCGGTACGCATGCAGTTTTTATATTGACGTTATGAAATATATCATACGACACATAATTTGAAATTCACATATGATAAGTTAATAGCTGGGTTGGAGCCGTGACGGAGCCGTGCTTGTTAGGTGATGCGACCTGAATTTTGTTTAACTACGCTAGACATGGACGCACTATATATTTTATAACCACAATTACCAGAAATAAAATAAGTCCCGATTCAATAAATGAATAAACTCAGTTTGTATAACTGAGACCCCGTCACCGGACACCCTCGGTTCCTCAGTCCGTTCAAATCTCTTTAATGATCATAATTATTTCGGACAGACATCGGGAAACTTTCTACGTCGGATCGTTGGTAACTTTTAGTTTCAATTTACAAACAAAACACCATTTTGCTTAATGAAAGAGAACCGGTAGGGTATTTGTTTTACCATGTGGCAAATTTTGCACGGGTTTTGAGTAGTTAGGCGATGAATTTAACACATTAATTAAATGTATGCGCTATAGTACATTAACAGTGAAGTTACTCTTAGTTGAATACATCACAGCGATGTTTAGTATTGTTTACAAATAAATCCGAATGGTTCTTTAGACGCAATATGAAATATATCAACTTGGTTCTATTAAAAAATCTCTTTCGTTTTCGTCGGGCGGCAAAACAACTTGTCATAAAGAGTACTTTCGATGTCTAAAATAAAAACAAAAAAAAATAAGACGTATTTTTATGTTCGTCTAAAAAATTTTCATGGAGATACGCTCGTGAAACACTAGACGTAAATTTGTAGGCACTATTCGCATCCCACGAGCCACCCGACGAGAAATATCTCTTTGAAAATTACAAGGCGTGATTATTTTGATAATGTACTATGTGTTCGTATGCGCTTTCGAAGTTTACGTTTTGCAATGGTTCACCAGTTATTTCTAAAACTACTTAATTACCAAGACAGAACCATTTTACTTCGGGACGGAAACGATATAGATTTTACAGTGTATTTTAACAAGTTCTGCTAATTGGGGTTGTGCAGACGTTGTCGACTCGCGTAAATAGCTATGTAATACGATCGATGCTATCAAGATTCCTCAAAGGCTCATTGAACTGCGATGCAATATTATCTGTGCCTACACTCCGACCAATGTACAGCCTCTTGTCTGCCGGTATATGAGACACCACACACACATAACCGAAGCTTTTACAACACACATGCAAAATATTATAACTATTGTTATCGCTCAAGGAATGGCTGGACTCTACATATTAACTAGTATTGGTAAATTAATATCATTTATTCAAGGATTTCGGATTTATTGTAATAATTAATAAAATTATGGTATAAATCGCTACGGTTATTGGAATAAATCGCTACGGTTTGTTGAACTCGATAATGTATGTGATACGGCATTCTGCATGTCGTTTCTTAAATCAATTAAAAAAAACCTTCTGGGTTTATTAGTAAAATACACTACATTTTACTATCATTTTATTTTACTATCATTTTACTGACAGTAGCAGCGCGAGTCGCCGCGTCGCGGGTCGCGAAATGCTGCTCATGAATATGAACCTCTAGCATGGCTTGAAACTAGTCGAGGTCCTCGTCAAATTACTACGTGAGTAAGCCGAAAACATAATAATTTATTTAGTATGTCTCACAAAAGTTACAATACAAATTACTATCAGTTATTTGTCATTTTGCAAAAACATTGGTTGAAAAGGGTGCAAGCTTTCATAATTCGTCGCAACTCGATGTCAATCCCTTGTCATTTCTATTGTATCACATTGACCACTTTCACATATATACCAGTTGGCGCGAAATGGTTAAACAGCGACATACAGTTATAGTTTTCAGGACATCTAAATTGGTACCTTCTTGGTAAAGACAACCTATAGCACAATAATGGTCACTTAAACAATAAAATGTGAATAACCTAAATGCTATAGATACGTAACGAGGTTCGAGCAGCTTGACAAGTGAAGCTAACAAGAAGACCGTGCCGATTCCCAGGTAACTGCATTACAAGGGTTCTTGTCACATTCTCGAATGTAACTAGTTATATTTAGTTACCTAATAGCTAGTTAATGCAAGATTGGAATAATATATTTTTGTATGTATATTATCGTGAGACTTACGACTCCAGATGTGACTTAAAACAGGTAGCAGTTCTCAAACTAAATAGTGCATCAAATGTAAGTGCATTTACACTTATGTACTCACTAGCTACTTCCGCGCGGTTTCACACGCTCTACTCAGCTCCTATTGGTCGTAGCGTGATGTTTTATAGCCTATAGCCATCCTCGATAAATGTGCTATCCAAAACAAAAAGAATTATTTAAATCAGAATTGTAGTTACGGAGATTAGCGCGTTAAAGCAAACAAACAAAAAAACAAACTCTTCCGCTTTATGTAATAGTATAAGATATAAGATAATAGTATAATAATCCCACGTGATAGACCTACCACTATTATTCAGGCCTCTAACTACAACAAATAAAGAAATATTCGAAAGAAATATGGGAATAACGAATTGTGATAAGGTTTAATATAGCTTTATTGCTACAGAATGAAGTTATTATAGAAAGTAAGTTTCAGTTAAAACAAAATTAAAAGATCGATTCCACTGCATTATTCAGGCGGTTGATGTTAGATTTTAGACATATTTACTAGGGAAAATGAAGCAAATGCCGTCTATAATAGACGATCGATAAGTTGCAAGCGGCATAATTAGTTACATTGCGTCCCTGACAATATTTCTCACCATTATAATTTGTTTTTTATGTTTCGATGCGAATGGTGGTGCTATTACTGTTCTATTTGTTCTTGATCATTCGAACACTATAAAAGATGCCTAAAACTATTTTAGATTGTGTAGATTTTCCGGAAACTTAGCAAAACTTAACGCATTTTATCCTTCGAAGGAGCAAGCAGAAGGAGCGTACTTCTAATTCTAAATTTCACAGTAATTTTTAGTCCCAGCACTTCTGTAACACTACACTACGCCCTACTACGTACAATTCCAAACTTTGTGTTACTACTCATTTTTTTGGAATAATAAGTATAAACAGTTAAAATCCATTTTCCTTAACAAAAAATCGAGACCGAGTCTTTTAGTGGTCACGTTTAGAACCACTTGACCAACGATTTAGTTTAACTGTGACCAGATTATGATTGTCACTATTTGGCATCTGAATTGAATGCAATGCTGAATAAAAGATACAAATAAATGAAAGAAAACTTTCTATAACGAGAAACTAAAATCAAAGTTCAAAATAATAATCGATGCGATACATAATGTTATCGCACGCATTTTAAATTATCTCCGAGGCAAAGTAGCTACTACTTATACTTTTGTAGCAATGACACATGACACAAAAAGTTCCAATGACACATGGCAAGTGCCAGAAGTCAGATGTCGCGCATAGTCGACGGACGACACAAATCCTACATCGCACATGTGAAGTGAAGTTTACATGTGAATAAACATGGATAGAAAATTCCAACGAACAACTGTTGGGCAGAATGCCTCCTAAGCACGGTCACCTCGCCTGGTCGGAGGATTCTCTATTTCCGATCCTAGGGAACATTACTCTATGTTCCCTAAACTATCAACGTAACACCCACTTTTCACCACATATGTTATAAATTCATAATTACGATGAGGATAAAAATATTAAGCAAGTTTGCTAAAATTCATAACTCCGTGCCATGACTGAAAATTTTCAAAGAATCGAAAAACATCATTATATTCTCTACCTGGAAATCGAATCGGAAACCCATTGCTGCGACGCAATCACGATTGCAGTGAGACAGTCTTCATTAAACATAAAAATAATATTACGAAACTAGGAGGGCCTGTGAACCTATCTGATCTAGGAAATATGGAAATACATATTTCAAGTTAGTATTTTTACCTTCACAACTTTGCGAAACTGAATGGAGATATGTATTGAATAAAATTGAGATTACGAATAACATCTTTAGGATTGGAATTAAATTTATTAAGTATGTATGTTTAGTTATTACTCGAAAATGCCTGGACCGATTTAGAATTTTCCCTTTTCTCTATTAAACCTACTTTGCTTTTGAATACGCGAACTTTTAATAAATACAATATTTGATATTTCCATAGTTAAGAGTTTAGCAAAAATAAATCATTCAGAGCTTTAGTCTTATACAAAATTATTTTTAACTATTGATATGATTATTTATTTATTTATTACTTAATGTCACTGTACAATGTAACACCCACTTTTCACTATTTTACCATGTAATAGGAGGTGAGCCTATTGCCATATATCGGGCACAATTCCAAACTCCGCGCTACCACTGAGAATTTTTTAAAACTCAGTAATACAGTGAAACCTGGTTAAGTGAGACATCAAGGGACCTGCAATGTCGTTTCACTTATAGAGGTATTCCGCTTACCCAGTGTCTCAGATATACAGGTATAAATAAATATCTGTCTCATTTACAGAGGGTTCCATTAACAGAGGTGGACTTGGAATTACGTGTGGAATTTGTGGGTAGAATAAGAATGAGTAAACATACAATGTTATCTCAGTTACAGAGGTTTATGCATATAAAATTTACTCGCTGTCTCAGTTATAGAGGTAACTATGATGATAAATCGATAGAACAAATCCCAGATATAGAGGTTTACCTCGTCCCACTAACAGAGGTAATTCAGTGCCAAGTGTTGGGACCTCAGAGTTCCAGTTATGGAGGTTTCTCACTTATCCAGGTCCCACTTAACCAAGTTTCACTGTACTTATCGAACCGGAGACCCTTGCCCTGCAGTCGCACTTGCGACCACTCGGCCAACGAGGCAGTCTTAGGCAGTTTACTTTTTACTCATATAAAAATGTATATGTACTCATTTGTGTACTTTTTTTTGTTTGAGCATCAGTTTCTATAACGCTAACACTAGTTACACTAAAGCTAACGACCCTACACTAGATGTGCATGTCTCTGACAAGACGTGAGCTTAGAAAAATACATAAAATCATAACGTCTTTAAATTTCGTAAACAAAATGCAGCGCTGAGCACAGTTTATTAACTGGTATATTTAACACCTCTTCTCATAGTCCTCTGAGTTTTACAGAAAATTGTCAAAAGCTGATAAGTCAAAAACAATTTACGGCTTTTGCTTTAGCATCAGTCGACGAAAAAGAAACGCAATGCTACAAATAAAATATTTAAAAATAGTGCAACGCGGGAATCAAACTCGAGATTCCTTGGAATTCGCGCTGGCAACACTCGACGAACGACACACAAGTTGCAAATAACCAAACTTATATGAAGAGTGCAATCAAGGGCTGTAATCTCTGTAGACACCAGCACATCAAAGTACCCTATAGTGTCGAGTTAATTTTGAGATACCAAGCTTCATAGGAGACGACCGAGGCAAGTCTCGCTTAGCGATGTACTCTCGAGACTTGTCCAGACGTAGACGGATAATAATAAGAGTTGAAAGCCTATTAAAGGAATTTAAAAAAGTTCATACTTTAATTTGGACTTTGTAACGCTTAAAGGCAATTGGGCCTTGTTGTGAGATTGTCCGAACTCTTCAAGTCACCTGTCAATCAGTGTTCAGAAGTCACGACATTTTTCAGAATCCTTACTAATATTATAAATCGGAAAGTGAGTTTGTTTGTTTGTTTGTTCCGACTTCACACCGTAACTACTAAACCGATTGCATTGAATTTTTGCAGACGTAAAGTTAGTAGTCTAGATTAAATAATAGGGTACTTTTTATCCCGGAAAAATTGATATTTTCTAGGAAAAACAAAAATATTGGTATAGATGGCGCTGTATGTATTGGTATATGTCACATAGGCTACTTTTTATCCTTTTGTGACGCGAGCGAAGCCGCGGGTAAAAGCTACATATTTCTTGTGATGATATGGTAAATTGATGTGCTGGTGTACAAGAACCTAGGAGCCTTCGAAGATGTGCTGATGACTGGGGCAGCTTAATCCGCTGGTGTCCTAGTAGTCATAGTGTAAGGGTACTTACTCCTCGACGTCTTTCTCGCGCTGTTCAAGCTGCAGCCGTACGGTGCACACCTCCAGGTACAGCTCGTTGGCTCGGCACAGCTGGTTCTCGTATATTCTCCGGGCGTGCTTGTCCGATTCCGGATCGTCCCCAGCTGCCTCTTTCGGCTCCGATTTGGACCTAAGAGACAAAATTAACTAGTATTGAGACTTGTGATTTTTATAATGGAGGTTTAGAGGGGGGGGAATGAAAAGATTTCATTTACGGAAGACGGTTTCGGAATACGGATAGCGTAGGAGCCGCGGTATTATTTTATAATATTGTAGATAATAGGCTCTAAGCTCAATGTTCCGGTGTTTTCATGGTTCTATCTACTGTAGATCCTGGCTTACAGGAGTTGCAGCGGTTTTGGGAGGATGTGGCGGGCTTGTCCCTTTAGGCTATAGGCTCGAAGTGTAACAGATGCGGTTAATGTAATAAATAAGTTTTTATTTTGTTTGTTTAAACCAATATCTGATGTTTTACAGCTTTGGCCCTTTGGAAAACGTTTGCCTACCACTAGTCTTGAGCTTTTTAAGTTTGGATAGCCCTTGTTGCTATCTACGTCATATTAGATATTATGTAATTCTATGATTTTAGTAAAATAATGAGTCTGTGGACCATGGACAAGATTACATTTCATTATTAATTTCATTTTAATTTTTTTTAGCTTTTATTTTATTTTTTTTTTTTTTATGTTATGTGTGTTCTGCGCGAAAATAAATTGTTTTTCTTTCTTTCTTTCTTCTTCTATTTAGTACGAATTCGGACCTAACCGTGCCTGATATTAAAACCTTTTTTCAAAGTGATTTTTGAGGAACAATGAATGCGCGGATGATATCGATCTATCTCGGGCCATAACCGGGTGTAGCCTTATTGTGCAAAGTGGGAAATAATAAAATTAAAATAAAATACCCTTACGTAAGACTAAGTCCACCGTAACATTTTGCAAGTTGAAGTTAACTTATAATTAAAGTTTACTGAAACTATGTCACTATTAAACTGTAAAAGAGATTGAATATAAAAGATCACGCTTCTAATTTCGCTCCCGGCCGGTAGAGGCACTAGTGTAACTTAGCTACATTTTTAGCCAAAAGTGTGGTAAGAAGTTAGCGGAAAATTAAAACTGGTACATTAATATTGCACCCAGCTTCTCAAGCTCAAAATCACAAGTTGCGAGAAAATTACCGACGCAGTAAATTTTTTTTAGGTTTCGAAATATTAATATTAAATAAAAAAAATATTTAGTTACATTACACAAACAATACAAACTAAAATATTTTTTTTACTTTATATTTGTCTTCAGAAGTTAAGAAATATATGCAATATATAATATTTTTAAAATTGCATTATTTCAGAAAAATTATTAATAATCCGATATTGTTATTAATATACTTAGCTTTGTTGGTACGGGTACAATTCCGAATTTAGGAAATACTTTCAATGGTTAGGTTCTGTATTCCCACAAAATCAAATTACACCACTGCCTACGCCGTCATTGCGAAACTAGCAACTAGCGTGAATTTACACAACTGCGACCGCGATACAGCCTGAATTTAAATTTAAAATATTTTAGATTTTTTTTAATAACTGAACAATAGTTTTGTAATGAAAACTATATCGGTAAAAATGCATGGCAATGATTTAAAAAACCGCAATACTAAGTTTTTTTAATAATTATATTTTAATTAAAAACAACATCACAAAAATATACGCCACTATAATCACACACGTAATCCACGAATCGATCCCAAACTATTTCATATGAAACTAGCCATACACGTAAGTACATAAAGCAATAATGTATTATAAATATTAATATTATAGTAGAATTATTTATTATTAATTTTTAAAATAAATTAAACTCAACTTTCGGAAAAAGTTAACTCAAACTAACAGAGATAATACGACATGACTTTAGAATATTTAAAAAATATGAAAATGTTTTTTAAATTTCAATAAAACGTGACTTGAAATGATTTAAAAATAAAATGTTATGACAATAAACAAATTAAATACGGCACCAACTTACTCAGACACGAACAAAGAAAAATATCCAACTTAAAAAAATATATTATAACGCACTAAAGTATTAGATTTTTATTTTAGATTATTAAATTTAATGATTTATTTAGAAAATATGAACACCATAAAATTTTAAAACAAACACCTCACCCGGAAGGAGCTGACTCGAAACGAACAAAGAGAAAATACAATTTTAAAAATTCAAAAATTAAAACACAGAAAAGAATCACCAGATAAAAATAAAACATATTTTAAAAATATAATCACAGAATAATAAACGCGCAAAATAAAAGTTGATAAAAGTTACAAGGCAAACTTAGGGAAGGAACGATGTTCGAACGCGTGTTTGTCCGGCGCCGATCGACACCCGCACGCGTTGCCACCTGGAGGCTCACTGGCTCACTGATATCGTTCGTCGCTACTGCTCATCACCGACTAAGAACTCGGAACTGTTGCACCGCCACCATGGACGCATACGTAGGTACTACGTTTTTACGATCACATTTACACCGTACCGGGAATTTTGTACACCAATATTTTTTACATACATACATAATAATTTTTAACTCGAAAAAAAAATATAGCAATTAAAAATGTGATTCTGTGACTCGAAACGTACTATCGTCGTGTTTTAGCGAATAACAAAGATAAGGTTTTTGGTCATTTAAACGATGTTATTTGATTTTAGCATTTTTTTAGATTATTGGCGTGGAAAATTGAACCACTATTAATAAAAATGCAACTTCGCAATAAAAATTGACACTTCCGATATTTCACGAAGTAACCAAAGCTTCAATATTTGACATTTTAAATAAAGTCTTTGAAGTGAACGCGTGGGTTGAGTTACGTATCACTCAACCGGTCGACGGATATTGCCGTATACGATGCATGAACGATTTACACAGAAATATATTTTTATAGCAACTTAATTTGTTAACCTACCTGACATTTGATGGAGAGATACTAAATATAGTGGAGTATTGATTTATAAGTATTTTCAACCGGCTTTGAAAAAGAAGGAGGTTCATAAGTGTGACCTAGGTATGTACGTATGTGTGTGCGCGATATCTTGAGATTAGTTGAACTGATTTCTATGCGGTGTTTAGAAAACTGTTTGTTACACTTAGGAGAAGGTTTTAGTATATTAATTGACCGACATCAGGAAAAGAGTGGATTAGATTCTATCGAAATGAGCTACAACACTTATTAACAACATAAACATCGAAAAGAATGCTTAAGGAAGATATTACAAAAATGTCTTCCGTAAAAAAAATTACGCTAACAACCCCTTAAAAATTTCACGTTGCGACAGCAAATATTTTAAATTCTTAAGAAAAAATACTCTGCAAGTCTAAACGACAGCGATAAAAAAGAACCTCATCGATTATCCTAGTCGACATTTATAACCGGGTTAAAATTAATTATGGATAACATAAGAAATAAGTCAAAATAATCCACGTCTAATGTACCGACGAAAGCGAAGCTATGACCTGCCTCAACATTATACAGCAAGCCCTACCGCGACCCTAAACAACTTCACAATGTCCGGAGCCCCTACCACGAAATAAACTCGCTTATTATGCTGTGAAATATGCGAACTCACCTTGCGAAGAATCGAGTCATGCTGTCTTGAACCTCTTTGCGCCACTCAACTTGGTTATTCTTGAAGCATTCCGTAGGATAACTGGCTAGTTCGGCCCCAGCAATTTCCAAATTAGCCGCAATTATCTTGAAGGGAGGCCTGGTAATAAAACACATTTACGTAATCAATATTTTGGCTCAGAAATGATGAGGATGTGAGGCGAGGCGAGGCACTCAATAGTCGATACAGCCTATTCGGAAGTCAGAAAGTTGCCCAAATACGAACTGGACACTTCTAGAAAGACAGTTAGCGCCGCATTTCATTGTTACACTGTGATATTTTGTTTCTTTGTAGGGAGGGATTTTAGGAGATTAATTTTTAATCCTATCAACATTTTTACACAATCAACTCATTTTTTTATTGGTCTTTTAATTCATTGTTAATAATGTTAAGTGTAAAGTTTGCCTGTATGATGTCTACAGGTAAAAAAGAAAATTAGATAAGTTGGAAAAAATTTCGTAAACGAATTTTCTTTGATTATTTATAAATCGTTTGAACAGAATGTAGAGATACGTACATATACGCGAATAAAAGTCATCGCACACTTAACCAGCACGGCTCCGGCACGTCTCCGACCCGACAATTAACTTATCATTTAAATATGAACTCTAAATCGTTGGTATTTCGTATGATATATTTCATAACGTCAATATAAAAAAAGCTGTAACACATAATCTTTTATACATATTCGTCTGGACTTTAAAAGAGACAGAACTCTCGAGTTTGTTTGGGCATTATTTCTCAAAGTAGTCAGTTAGGAAAGTGTAAAAGTGCTACCTTGTAGCCTGTTTGCAGGAATAAATTCCCTTGTTTCCAAGAACGTTAAAGCAAAGGTGAACATATTGTCACTTAAAGCATAAAAATAGACGATCGAACCGTACCGTCGTTTTTGTCCGCTCCGGATCATATTGAATAGTGTGTACTACGATCCGTCCAACGTTGCCAATAAATACCTCTGGACCGCCGGACCAAACGGTGACGGTGACGATTCGATTCGATCACCTATTTATTCTTTTTATATGATTAAAGCACCAAAATATCCATGGGTTATTTATGTGTGCGTGTATAATTATTTTTTTAACCCCAGTCTAGGATTATCTCCTAGTGCCTTGGGTGCGTTTACAAACATACAAGTTCACATACACATGACACCCAGACCAGAAATAACAATTTGTAGATTACACAAAGTGTTGTACCGTGCAAAAATCGAACCCGCGACACGTTGCACGGCAGCCGGTTGCCCAGTCACCGCACCAACCGTGCAGTCAAAACCGTGTAATTAGTGTGTAAATCACGGTAAATAAAATTACCATATTACTAGCCTTAAGGAACTGTCCTTCGTGTGTATGTTCAACGTATCTACAGTAATCAGGGTGCTTACTCTTGAAACCAATCTCAATGCCAATGCAATTTCAATCCAATAAAATCTAAATAATTATTCAATGTCAACACTATACAACCACAATCGTAGCTGTTAAAATAGCATTCAGAGTACGGAATATGTGTTGCAACTTGAGAGTACGAAATTTCACAATGTCAATGTCGATCGATCAGAATTGGATTCAAGAGTAAGCCCCTGGGTGCCACATTCGTTGTTTCAAGTGACTGTGTCCACGTTTTTCCCTTTCCCTTTATTTCAACGTGTTTGCTTGTTTCACTGTAAATGCACCGCCCGGCGCCGTGCGCCGACGGACCGCTTAAAACCTTTTTGTACTGTTTCCAAAGCAAAAAACGCTATGCCTGAGCTGTGCTTGTTAAGAGTGGTATGCCCTTAACTATCATCAATTTCATCGAATATTGGATATTGAAAATAAAAGGGAGTTTAAACTTTTTATTTGGCAATTACAAAGTAGTTAAATATTATTAACGTCCGGCCCGGAGGTTTAAGACGCCCGCTTCTCATGCATGAGGGTACGGGTTCAAAACCTACCAACGGCAAGTACCAATGTGACTTTTTCCGAGTTATATGTACTTTCTAAGATTATCTAGACACCACTGACAAACGATGAAGGAAAACATCGTGAGGAAAGCTGCTTATAATTTCTATTTATAAGTTTGAATTCTCCAACTTGCATTGAACAAGCGTGTTGTTTAATCCTCAAACCTTCTCCGTGTAAGAAGAGGCTTTGCTTAGCAGTGGGCATTTATACTGTCGATGATGATGATGATAAATTATTATTTAATTTTAATATGGTATACGAGCGAATACCTTTTGTTCTTTCATTGCCATTTTTCCGGAAGGAAAGAAAGAGAAAATCGGGGTTCAAAGTATTAAACAAAAAAATGTTATCACGTCTTCATTTTTATGGAATCGCTTTACAATTTGATAGGAAATTCATTTTTAAAACTTAGATAAAATTAAAACGCGGATTCTTTTTGAGGTAAATTCACTCGTTTTGATAGAAAAATATATATTGCAGCAGCGCGGCTGAATGTAGCAGTGTATATAAGAATTGTCGTGTACAGGCTTGTTATTGTAACCTACCGTCTCCTGTCACGTAATAAATGTTCGCACGGGGAATGAAATAATGTTTTCGTTTGCTTTTCATTATATTATTGTTACATCACATAATTTAGTTTAAATAAATACTGCGATTGTTTTCATATGCTCATAACGTCGGTGTGTTAATTTAATATTATTCACCGAAAACAATAAAATAGATGTTAATTGCTGTAGTTTTAATCAGAAAGTTGAGAGTGAATTAAATCACACAAATTGGCTTGACTCCATGCAGGCCTCCAGTATTAAATTACTTTTATTATAAATCAATTATTAATTGTTTATATAATTTGACTGCCCCGTTGGCCGAGTGGTCGCTAGTGCGACTGCCGGGCAAGGAGTCTCGGGTTCGATTCCTGGGTCGGGCAAAGTACCTATTACTGGGTTTTTAAAAAATTCTCAGTAGTAGCATGGAGTCTGGAATTGTGCCCGGTATATGGCAATAGACTCACCCCCTATTACATGGGACTCATAACATAATGAAAAGTGGGTGTCACATAGTACTGTGATATAATGTCCACCTCTGCCTACTACTTTGTTATGTTATTAATTGTAAAAATGTTTTAACCAAGTGGTCGGTACGTAATTTTATTGACTGTACTGTAACTATACACACGAAGTTAAATTGCTGTGTGGTGGTCAGTGGCAAATTGTGGTCTATAATTTCGGATCAAATGGCGGGTCAGTTGGTAATCAGACCGTTAGCCACAATACAACTTTATTGGAAAATGATCATACTCATCATTCCGGTAAGCGGGCTTTCACACTTTGTCCCAACCAGCCTCTGCTAAGGGGAGAAATCTGATTAAGTGTAATTTTCACTCACCTGTTCCTCGGAGTGCGGTTCCAGCACTGGTTCATGAGTAGCTGCATACTTCCGGGCATTGTCGACGGCACGGGGAGGGCAATCGTATCCGTGCCCACACCCCACATTATGGCATGTGTCTCTAGATTTTTGTATGGGACCTCTTGTGTCAGCAATTCCCAAAGGACAACACCATACGACCATACGTCGACGCGTTCAGAGCAGGGCTCGTGCCTGATCACTTCGGGCGCCATCCAGGCTACAGTTCCCGTGAAGCTCATCACGGCACTCACATCATTCCACTCGCGACTAGTACCGAAATCGCTGACTTTCACCACAAGGTTATCGGCAATCAGGACGCTAAAAAGAATTGTTAGTTGTAACAAGGGCGTGGGAGACAGATTCGGATGTATATTATTATATATATTTGTTTACCTAATTGTCGCTGGTATAATACGTAGGTATTCACATGTACTTTTCTGTTTGGGATACTCGTAAAATTCATTGAATCGTATTGTTACAAGAGCGAGGTGAGTTAAACATAACTATAGCCCGATCACTACTGTATAACCTGTTGAAATATCGTACCCTAAATTTGTTCATACAAAAGTAATCTCTAAACATCGGAAATAAAGTTACCGGTGACCGCTTGAGGATTGAGCAGTTAAGAAAAAAGAGTTTCATAGAAATAGGGGTGCACAACATCATCAACAATCATATGAACACTAGGCCTATAAAGTATTACACTATATAAACTTCCACCTTTACGTGGTGTAGCAATTAATTTTCCTCTAAAATGCTCACTGAGATGTACTTTGCGGTGCTCTGGCGCCAAATCTACTTATTTTATAAGTACATCAAAGTCTACAAAATTGCCAATTTTCAACACTCCCGGAAATCTTTCGGGGTTGCCCCCACATTTCCGCCCTAATGATCGAACTATGCCATGAAGCCATGAATATTATATAAAATATGGACACAAAAAATCCAAATACCTACTTACTTTTACTTGAAACATTCTTGAAACTAGTACCTATATCAGTTTTGTTACAAAGTGTACCTAACCTAAAAATAAGGTTCTTTTACTTCTGTCTAATGCTATTATCTTAAATAATACTTCTATCTAATATAGTGAATAGCCCAAAGAGTTAATTAACTTGGCGACTTTTAACCGCGACGTTTTCGCTGTAACTTTATTGTTTGCCTACATAGTTTCCAGAAATTCAGGATATAATTTCCTTGAGATATATTTTATACGTGTACCATGAAACTAATTAGTTATAAGGACGTTGTATTAATATTCACGGCGATATTCACTGGGGAATGAGGCGTAAAAACATCGTAACGAATATTGCTTGAAGTCTAGGTAGTGTAACCCCATGTACAAATATATTTATTGTATTGGCGAGATAAAACTTGATATGATGAAATCGACAAAGTTGCAAGACCGCGACGTCCTTCATAAATTCAATTCCCGGAGTTAGTTCCTTTATAAAGGCCATTTCAAATGTTACATCTTATAAAATTGCCGTTGGCTTTGAGCAATGCTGGAGGTCCCTTTAAAAGTGCACTGTGTGAATATAAATGCAATTAGGTCATCGGTGCTCTTAAAATATTGCTCTGAAACAATCTCGTAATTGCGAGATACAGTTTTTAAAGGAACTACGAAATCGATTAATGCATAAAACTTACTTTAGTTTTGGCATCTGTAATTGTAATTTGAGACGGATGTGGTCAGTCACGTATGTATTTATAAAACATAAATTAGACTTTCATACCATACTTTCTTTGGTAATGTGATGTCCACGATATGTGGGTAACTAGTTAGTACTTACATAGAGTTCTTAATTAAATCGTATAATATTTCACTTGTTTATCTTAGTTTCTGTACCTATTGCTAGAGAAACTTCTATTTAGTCAAAAGCTATTTATAAAATAGTTCGAAATGTTTAGCTTTGAAGTGAAATGAAATACAAATCTACATGTTTCGAGGAAGCGTATATTAAATAACTAACTTTTAACTAAGTACCAACTGGCACAAGTTGCCTGTACGTTTTCATTTTACATCTTCGCATAAATATCGCTAAAGATAACCCTGCAAAACTATACTGTATTCACAATAGCATTAGACAGAAGTTAAAAAGTTTATTTTTAAGGTACACTTAGTAATAAAAGTGACATTTTAGTTTCAAGAAGGTTTCAAGTAGGTGGGTAGGTATGTGGACGTTTTGTACTTTATCAAATTTTCCTGGCTTCATGGCATATATGTGCTTTTCCTATTTCCATTTTAGTAAATCAGTTTATTAACAATATCTCTTTTAATGCACAACACATTTTACGACAAAAACGTTGTCTACAGAATTACACTACTTACAAGTACATCTCAGTGAACATTTAGAAGGAAAATTAATGTTAGAATTACTATCAAAATAATAAATTTATAATCTTCAGTGATACCAGTGTCGCTGTCTATGGTGACTTATGTGAACTTATCTGTAATCTGTATATCTGTCTATAGATAGCGTTTCAAATTGAAATCATTATTTATGGATTTTAAATACTAATGATATGCACTCCTACTTCTATGAAACTCTTTTTACTAATGCAGAAGTGAATAGAGAGATGCATCGCGAGAAATACATACCTCTGCGAAGTTATGCACTTCCAATACCGAGACCATGAATATATTACATTTTAAATGTCAAACTTTTATACTACTAACTTAAACATTGCCCGACTCGAAGCAACTTTCTCAAAGTAAGTTTAACAGCATTGAAATATTGAAAACAAATATCGATGCTAAATAAGGTTGTATCTAAAGATCACTCCTTTACATACAATAATGAAGTAGCCTGAGGACAAAGTCAAGAATCTTGAATAGTCCCAAAGACTGACTAGTCTTGGTGACGACACGTAACTAGGCAACTAAATACCTATTGAAATCAGTAGGTCTACTCTGATTCAACAAAACACGAAGTTTAGTTCGAAACTTCGCAAATTTTTTACCACAATGCCATTTATTATTACGAACGAAAAACGAAAATTGAATGAATGAAATAAGCACACTCCTCTAACTGCACACACAATTTTCGTACGTGGGGGGCACGTACGAAAATTTTTGTTTAACAGATTATTCTTTGGACGTTTAATGTCATTTCGACGAAACCAAAAATTATCGTTGGATTTTTCGTTTTAGTTATTTTCATTGAAAAATGAATGGAAGTAGTTACAAGTCTTCGTTTTATCACGGTTGCTTCGTGTGAGCAATACGTAGGGCACCAAAGGAACCGATAAAAGACGATATAATATCAATGTACAGTCAGCTCAAATAGTTGTATTTACGAACGAAGTTAGTAGATACCATTTAGGGTATTCAAACACTTATTTGAATAGGTGCCTTAAAATATGTTTTAAGTGTAATGTTTCATTTTTAGACTAATAAAATCGCTACAAAAATAAACTTAATTATTCCTAGTATATATTTTAGCTATTCTTTAACATTCTATGAATATAAAAACCTTTATAGAATAGAACATTGCTTTCAAAAACATTTTGCTCTCTAGCTGTTACCCTTAACTTCGTCCGCGTAAAATATGAATTTAACAACATAACTTATTCTTGTTTAAATTTTCCTAAATAAAAGTAGCTTAGTATATCAGCTACCTGCCAATAAAAGCCTTGCAATATCGGTCTCGCCGTTCTAGAGATTAGTACAAACATACAGAGAGACAAAAACTGTAAAAAATGATATTTTATTTATGTATCTCACATTGTCGCAAGTGAATTGTGTAATCCGCCGTATTATATTACTACGCGCTAGCCATTTAGAAAAGCAGGGCCGTTTTGGGATTCGGCGTCTGCACGATTAGCCGTATTGTCAATGCGAAACGTTTTACAACCTTTAGCTTCATTGTAATTATTTTACAAGGCATGGTCTTTTTTTAAGAGGGAAATTTATCGAATGACTTCTCCCGCTCGGGTGAAGCGGGACCCGCGACACGTTGCGCGGCAGTTGACCAACCACCGCGCCAACCGTGCAGTCGAATGTTGTGGTTGTCATTATTTTATAAATAAATGATAATGACAACATTCTAAAACGTTTAAACTTAATCGTATAATAAATATTTGAAAGGAGGTTCTTATCCTGTGAGTTTCCACCTCAAACTTTAATTTTAAACGCTTAATCATGATTTTCTTGATGAATATGTGTGCCAAGGCGTTATAAATTTAGTATCTAAAAAAATAACTTTTTATATTTAATTTATAAATCCAAACGTATTTATTACCTATTTATTTATCTTCATTTCATTCATTCAGTTTAGTTCACGAATGTCGTCTATGGATTTGAAAATATTGTTAGCGGCCGCAAATCAAACAAAACTTCGAGAATCAGAGTAGACCTCCGAGAATGTAGGCGTGGTGACAAAAGCTAAAGATTCGAGACGACCTTGAGACAGGCAGTCAAGTAAAAATAACATAAGTACCTGGCAGATTTGTACCTGGATTTATATGACCTAGTCTTAATTTAAATGACCTATTGCTTCGTATTGGACTTTATATAGCTGCTTGTTTAACCCAAATATAATCTATCTATTTAAATAGTTCAGTTTTGGAAGTACAATACATAACAGTCATTTTGTTTTCATTTTTATTCATGACGTAAATGAATTAAGTAGTAGAAAGTACTCAGGCATGTATCCTTCCATCAATGTCACAGCAGAAAATGAAAGAAAAGCTACACTAATGAAGCTTTTGAATATCTACCGCTAGTGACTCGAAATAAACAAGCTCTTAAAGTCCGTCTCTCACACGATTATCTATTTACAGGCCTCTCTTCATATTCTTGGTAGACGGACAGTTGACGAATGGAAACTAAATCTATTTAAATTTAATAACATATTCTGATGTGAAATGACCGAAATACTTTAAGGAAACACTGAATACTTTAATTTTTATGAATGTAATCTAAATGCAGTTTGCCGATTTAACTTAAGAACTGTCACACTTTAATACATTAAACTTTATGAATAATTTGAATTCATTTACAAGTGAGCCGGGCAAAACTATTTAGTGGCCCGTTGACATCGAGAAACATGAGATACTGAAATAGTTTAAGCACTATTTATAAAGTTAGGACGATTTTGGCTTTCAGGTTAGTTTATGGCTATCTCAAGAACATTTTCTAGAAAATTGCTAACTTACTTTAGCTTACTAGATCACCCTTCAAATTACTAATAAAATGTAGCTATAATAAGCCCTCTATAGCATGTTATACATCGTTCAAACTACTTAACAGCAATATATGCTCAAGAGCGTGCATTCATGTAGGTGAATATCTCACGGCACGGTTGAGCAGGCCACGCCGAATCATATTAATTGCCATCATGTGCAGTGGCACATTACATTGCAAACTGAACCTTATCAGAGACGTTTTATTTATTATCATTGCTTGGTTATTTCATCGTGAAATTCGTATCGAAACTCATTTTAAAAGGTTGCTTAGTGAAATGTAAAATGATGCTCACGAAGTAAGTATTGAGTTTTAGTAGCCGGGAGGCGGTGTGCAGGTGCAAATAGTCTTTTTATACAGTTGACTGATCAAAATAATACTAGACGTTAATTATAACCGGTTCGCCTTGAATATTACGAAGAGCTCTGCAACTCTACACAGACACGTTAAAGGCTTGCGTTCGATTAAACAACCTTCAGTGCCAGTCCCCTTTGCAAATTTGATTTTTGAGCGAATACTGAAACCTTTTTTGAATCGTGCTTTGTCTGCACCGCTGCAAAGCGCAGCTTTGACTCGCTATTCGGGAATGGCAGGTGTACACATACGGCGCGCCGGGATTTTGTACGCCAAACAAAAGAGAAGCATGTGAATACCCTTAACGGCTCAATTGATACCAGACAGTTTGATAAACTATGAAGATCACTAATAATCAATCTACCGTCGTTCATAAAGATTTTTTTGTGCAAGAAAACTTCACTAAAGAAAATATCCCTCGAAAAAAACCGGAGACACTTTCTTCAAATTTTAGTATTTTTCAATTATATTTTCATAAAGTTTATAACTCGTTCACTATTTATTAAATACATATTTTTCATAAAAATAAAACACGAAAACATTCCAAGCTTTTTGTAAAGAAAATTATTTGCAGAACAGAAAAGTAAGTGAACATCTATTGTACGACTGCTTAGCGGCAGTCACAATGGAATAATGCAGGGCAACAAGTAGACGGGAACTTGGCAAAATGGAGGAGAATTTAATCTTAACAATTCCCGACAAACATCTAGAAGAAAACTTAAAGACATCCTTACTAATATTATAAATCGAAAAGTGAGTTTGTTTGTCTGTTTGTTTGCTCCGCTTTCACGCCGTAATTACTAAACCGATTGCTTTGAATTTTTGCAGACGTAAAGTTAGAAGTCTAGATTAAATAATAGGGTACTTTTTATCCCGGAAAAATTTGATTTTCCCGAGGGAAAACAAAAGTATTAGTATAGATGGCGCTGTGTGTATTGGTATATTATTATGTCACAGGCTACTTTTTTCCTTTTGTAACGCGAGCAAACCCGCGAAAAGCTAGTTGCTAGTAGTAAAAGCTAGTAGCCTTATATAGCAATCGGTAGTGCGGTGTACAAATGAAAAGACTAAGAAAGCTGTAAATTCAATTTGAAGAAGCCTAAAAACTGCATTGCTTTTAGGGAACCTTTCGGAAAATGCTGTTCAATAAAACAACGATTTTATTTACAAAAAACTTGCAACGTGCATTTAAGGTGTTCAGATGGTCGGTGCAAAGGTTTGAAACTAACGCATCTTAGAAATCTTATGTATTTAAAAAATTTATAACGCGTTTTTACTTGAATATAATAATTTCAAAGCAACGTGTCTTATTTTTAGGTTTTTACGCCCGAATACTGAAAGGCTTTCTATCTCTTCTCTTCTTTAAATCTTTTTTTACAAAGAATTTGTAGTGATAGAACTTCAGCGCGACTTAAAATGGTGGCGTGTAAGTAATTTGACAACAAAGGATCTAGACAAGCAAGGCTGATTATATGACTTCAGAATAAAATAGCTTTCGTTCAACTCATTGCACATCCTTCCAAGCACCATTATTATCATAAATTTGTTAAATAAAATCAACTTACTTGGGAGATTTCAAGTCTCTATGGATAATCTTATGACTGTGTAAATACGCCATTCCTTGAGCTATTTCTTTGGCCCACTTCAAGATCTGGGAGGGCAAGAAGCTAGATCCACTATGGATGTACTCGAATAGAGGACCGTATTGGCAAAACTCCATGATGATGCAGGCTGAAGGTCCATTAGTACTGATGCCTTTGAATTGCACTGAAGACAAAAGAGAAAAATAATTAAGAAAAAAATACTATAAGGAGATTTGTTAAATGGGAGAGTCAAATATAAAGAATGCTGTCATAATTCCTGCTATTACGGTAACAATTTGTCAAAAGTTTAATGCACACTTTGTTTTTTACTTTTTTTTAAAATAAATCGTTCCCCCTCTATGCGTCACCTCTACGGCAAACTTACGAATCTGCAGTTTTTATGAATTTGACATTTCTATTAAACAACAGTTTATGTTGTCTTACACAATATTTATATTTTTAATATAAATGTCAAAACTAAATTAAGAGTAGTTATTATAAAAACATGTCAAAACTACACCTTATGTTGTCTAACACAATGTGTGTTTTTAATAGAAATGTCAAATTCATAAAAACTGCAGATTCGTAAGTTTGCCGTAGAGGTGACGTATGGTTCTCTCCAGTGTCGTCGGTGCGTTTACAAACGTACAAGTTCACGACACCCAGACCCGAAACAACAATTAGTGGTTCACATAAAGAGTTGCCACGTGCGGGCACCGATCCCGCAACACGTTGCGCAGACGTCACGGTTGTTGCGGTGGCTCCACCTGCATTGTTACACATTTGCATTTTTACTCCAGGTGGAGTAAAAATCATAAAACCATATTTACTTAAACTCATTACGGACACCTGCTAAGAGATTGAGAAATGTATACGAGCTTTACTTAAAATATCTTTTACAAGACAAATTAAATTTATGTTCTTTCAACAGTAATTTCTATGTGCACTAGTAAAATATTCATCTTATATTTGCATTCATTACTTTATTTGCGAATCTCCTCGTATGTCACTCTAATACATTAAGTTACAGTGGTTTTATTTTTTCTCCTCGTGTCGCTGCATGTTTTACAAATAGATATTAATACCCATACATAAAATTTGTGAAAAAATATGCATTTCTGAGTGTATCTTTCTGTACTTCTACTTAGAAGCAGGATCGATACGTTAGTGACTCCCAAACAAAATCGAAGCATTTTCGTATTCCAATTTGATGATACACCAAATTTAGAATCGACTTAGTTCGTCAAAAATAAGCAATTAATACTACGACGTAATGATCTTGCTATTCAAAATGGAATCCAACAAATCAAAGTAGAATAACTCTGTATTCGAACTTGACTTAATTATGAAATAAATGGTGGTGTGTCTAATTAATATCGAGAACACAATAACATCACAGGGACGCTACGCCTGCGAACAGAACAGCAAAGCAGAGGCCAGTGTAATAATCCGTCATTGTTACTACGAGAGCGGCAACTCACTCAATAGAGTACGGATGCCTGCATCCTGAATTCACGTAACCCTTTGACGCCGTGCCCTTTCACGCAAATTCAATGTGCTCATGCAAGGCGAAGACAACATGAACGACACAAGTTACCAACTCCAACCACGATTACAATAGACGTACAAAAAACGTACAAACGTTTCACAGCCGTACAACTCACAAAAGCTTATTTCAATGGATGACGTTTTTTACAAAAAATACTTAAACCATTTTTAGTTACGTACAACTCTATTCAAAGCAGAAAACGTTGTTTCATAACATGTTCATTTCATTTTTCTCGAAGACTAAAACCAAAACGTAAACGTCAAAAACATACAGGAGTGCGCTTACTGGCAGGGGCGCGTTCCCTAACCGCATTAATTGAACTCTTTAATACAATTCCGATCGTTTGTTTGCAAGCAATTGCAACAATGTTTTGGTAAACCATAACTTGTGGAGTTTTTACAACTTATTTCACTGCATTCGTACCGTACAGAAAAATTAATGACAAACTGAATACACAGTGAAGTTAATGAATATTTTTAAAAGCAAAGAGAACATGCATTTATATTTTCTTTACATACAATCTTATTGATCCTACTTTCGACATAATTATTATATACTACATGAGACGCAAAAATAACACAATTTTCACAAATACATCTGCTATTTAATAGAGCGTGATTTTGAATAAGTCATCCTTAAACTGAGATCTTTTGATACATGCACATTGCATCTTTACTTCACGTGAGCCACTTCGATTATACTTATTTAAACTTTAATACTAAGTATACTAATTTTGTAATGCGAAACCTTTTTATTCATCGATATTTGAAAAACTCACGATAAAGGTCAATTTTACTTGAGTAACATAAAGTAACATAGGTACTTTAATCTCGATATTCCTTCAGGATCAGGACATGGGCAGAGAGCCAGTTACTTTATAAATTAACATGGCACCGTTATCCAATAAATGAAGTGTAAAGTAACCTGGTAGAAGATTTGCCAAAAATTAGGATAACCACCTTTACTGAACCAGCATAACGAGGTCGCCTAGTTTGACAATTAATTTAGACCCGGGCGATTTATTTAGGGCACGTCTCGAAAATAGGTCAAAAAAATGTTGTATATGGGACCTAAGTTAACTTGCATCGTAGTGACATCGGTAGTTTAATCTCAACGTTTAGGAATTTTAAGCAATTTTTGTTAGTCTGTCGGCCGCCCAGAATACTGTTATCAAAGGTAACAAACAGAAGCTGGACAAAGCTAAATGATTTTGAGCAATTTTTGCACATAACTAAATTTTCCAAACACAATGTCCTGTGGTAATAACGTGGAACAGGAACAAAGTTTGGAGACCAAAAAATCTTTATGTTTTAGGTACATAATTGACTGTGGTCCTGTGATGTGACATTTTGCTTTCACGTTTAACTGCCGACAAACTGCCTTTGACTGCCGACAAAAACTCGGCTGTGCAATTTCAAAAAAATGTGTATTTGCATTTTTCGACCTTATATGATAGCAAAAACTCCCAAAAACAAATCAAATTTTGAAATCACTCCCAAGAAGATACGACTAATATTATTGAAGTGGCAAGCTGTCAAAGATATGAAATCATTTTTCGGCTCTCGTGTAAAATTTGGTTTTATGCAGATACTAGGTTTTGATATTTCACAGCCGAAGTGCTGAAGGCAAATCCTCCGCTAACGTAGGTCACCGGTGACCTACGCGGCGGTTAACGTGTTAATGGATAATATAATAGTCGAAATTCAAAGGTCGAAATTTCCAGAATTGAAGCTAGCAAACCATTAACAGGTGGTGCGTTGGTTTGTAGTGTTCGCTCTGTAAACGTCGTTGATGCTGCGTGCCGCTTGTGCCGTGTAGATGCCACGACAGTAGGTAATCATAATTACTCGAATTTTTAACGTATCCATGACGACGAAAGAGATTGAAATGCGATGAAAATGTAACACTTTTTTCTTTTTTTTTAAGGGGGTAAATCATCGAATGGCTGCTCCCGCCTGGGTGAGGCGGAACGGAGTGTCAGACTCTTACTGACTAAAAACCACCCCGTTCCTTCTCCTGCACGTCGAGCCGGAGCCCCGGTTACCCGTTAGGTTCTCCGCGACTCCGAATCGGCATCGGCCCTATTGGGCCCCATCTGTGGTGGTCTGATGGCTCTTTGAGGCGCGCGCGGAACGCGACGCGCCGTACGCTCGGGAAAATGTAACACTAATCAATAAACAAACTACAACTTTCAGAAAAATCCATGATTCCAAAATAAAATTAATTTGAAATTAGAATTCTTAGCCAAACAAACATTATTTTGATGTGAAATGGCCAGTTCTGCAGAACGGCAAATCCATAGATAAAGACCAATATTACCCAAAGTACGCCTTTGTAATTATTTGCACAAATTAAAACATGGACTCCTGCTTTATACTCAATCATTTTAAGAGTAATGACTAATGTTTCAGATATGCAATGAATAGCTTTTCATAGAAATTATTTCACTAAACATTAATGTTAAATGCAAGCGACAGTTACAGTGACTATGATTTCAATCAGGTAAAAGCTTTCATTTAGTTTCCTATATACAACTCATACAAACAAACGTAGTCTTTTGTAAGACGTTGCTTTAACATTAGAGAAATATTGTCATTAAAAGTTGATTCTCATTTCTCAATCCTTTTTGCTTTTACCTACCGTAAATTGTAATATGTTTTACTATCATTTTTTATGAGATAAGCCATTAAACGGGCAAACGGATCACCTGATGGTAAGCAATCGGCGTCGCCCATGGACATCCGAAACGCCAAAGGCGATACAAGTGCGTTACCGGCCTTTTGGGAATTAGGAGTTTGTGGACTGTGGGGGATTCGGGGATTGGGGAGACTGGGGAAGAGTATAGTATAGTATAGGGTACAATTTTAAAATCGTACATTTCCGCTAAACATAACATATTGCATTTTCTAGATAGGTATTCGTCCCCGCTATCTCTCCTGACATTATAGTGCACTATTTACTGGACACCCCATAAAAGACGATTTCGAAAAAAATGACCCTTACCGTATTTGAGTCGGAAGCCAGCGATTGTTTTTACCAACTACTCAAGAACAGTACAATACCATGGCGCACACACAGATTCACAATACTCTATTCAATACACAGCACACACAAAAAGGAAGTCAGTATAGCAGCATGTGTCTTCCCTTATCGGACTGAGCGTACGCCATAACGCCCTTTTATCAGATTTCTGCAACTCCCTACACATAACGACCTCGAACACAATCATGTCTGTCAATTTACATGCCAGACGTTAATTTAAAATGTTTGCAGACGACAGTGGCGTCTTTCTTTAAAAAGCTTAAACGAAAAGCCATCATTATTTTTACTACAGATCTGTCTGATGCGAGTCAGAACTAAATTGTAATCTGGGTAAGTCATATCGATCACAACTTAAACGGGACCCTTAAAATCGAGCGTCGCATATTTTAATATGTGCACCTACGTTAGCCCTCTAAGATACACACACACCACATATTATATTATTCACAGATTATTAAAACATACATTTTACCAACGAAATATGCTAGCATATTTCCTAGTACTTTCAGACTCGTGTACTAGATTTAGCAGTTTGCTAGGTACGCGCATCGTTGCATCGTTGCAAAATATTGACTTAGTAAACCGTCTGTCTG